CAGATGACCAGGTCATTTACACAAATGACTTGGTCATTTAAATTTTGAGTAAATGACCTGGTCATTTACCATCCCTGGACTGAAGTAGAGAATATTATTGAGGCTTTTCTAAATGTTGATAATATTGATGAAAATTCGAAAAGTAATTTAGAATAAAGTTATTTATACATGAAGATATTAATAGTATCTTTATTAGATAAAGTAATAGATACAGAATATAAAAAAGATAAGAATTTAACTATCTAATTAATAGAGAAAGAGTCAAAGTTTGAAGTGGTTGTAAAACAAAATCAAAGACCTTATATATATATGAGAAGAAAGCTACAATCTACAAAAGCATTTATCTGTCTTTATTTTACTATAGATCTCTTCATTCACTAATGTTCTTTTTATACTATTCATACAAAATATTATAAAGAACATTGCTTTCACACAATCGAATATGAATAAGGGTCAATCTTGGGATTAATGCATCCATACTTTCATATGTTTATATGATATAGTGATCAAAAGTATACAATCCTATACTTATCTATTCTAGGTGTTCTTATTATTATATTATTCTACTGGGCAACTTTTGGTGTAATAGCAGTTTGCAAAATTATATAAAATTTGCAGATCAATAAAAAAAAGAAACCAATAATTTCTTATTCTGATTACTAATAATTTCTTTAACATTTTTTTTGCAGAAATATAAGTTGTAGATTCAAAATTTTTGTAACATATTTTGATTTAGCATCTTTTGTAGAAATATAATTTGCATATTTATCATGTTGTAAAGAACTTGATTGTGTAATATTAAATTGAAAATTTCTAAACCTACACTAATGTATAAACACGGGTATTAATTAATTGATTTGAAATCCATGAAGCATATAAATTTCATATAAAAAAAAACTACTTAATATTAGGGTTAGGGTTAGAGAGTATTTGATACTAAAATTTTGCGTAGATTATTTTTTGTTAGAACCCCCAAAGTAGTTTTATAAGCAAAATTTTGAGTAATAACAACACCCTGTGTGTACACACTACTCTATTAAATTTGTTTCTTTTTATCCTGATAAAATTTACTATTGCATGATAAACAAGAAGAAAATTTAAAAGTTGCTCCAAATTCAATCTTATAAAAACTATTTTCTAGAAAATTAATTTGTTTATTAACGGATCGAATTATGAAATTTCAAATAAAAGCATAAAAAACTTTAGTACTGTATGATTTTTTTATTGGAATATATGTTTTATTTCATTATAATTAATTTTAGAAGTTGTATACCAAATAATGTTCCGGGATAATAATTTTGGCCATTAGAAATGATTTTTTTTTAATAAAAAATGTATGCTAAATAAATATATGTATATTATTTATTTACAAGTCTTTATTTAGCATAATATTAGTTGATTTACGTACGTACGTCATCAGAAGTAATGTTAGCAATCAGAAATAGATTTTTTTTTTGATCTGCAAATTTCACATAATTTTCAAACCGCAACAAATCAAGTTCTAATTATTTATTTAAATCTGCAAGTGATTCTTCATATTTGCACATCACGCGATAAGTTACTCCACGACTGCTTAATGAGGACGCATTATTTGGCTCGATTTCTAACGATTTATTGAAGTCTGCAAGTGCTTCTTCATATTTACATATTATATAATAAGCTTCGTAATGTAAATGCTTCACTTGGTTCAATTTCTAATGATTTATTTAAATCTATAGGTGATTCTTCAAATCTGCCTATCATTTCTCCACAATTACTTAATGCAAATGCATTATTTGGTTCATTTCTAATGATTTATTTATTAGTAAATATTCAAGTGATTCTTCATATCAGTTTCATTAAACGATAAGTTTCTCCACGACCTTTTAATGCCCATGCATTATTTGGTTCAATATTTAATGATTTATTGAAATCTGCAAGTGACTCTTCATATCTGTACATTAAGCGATATGTTTCTCCGCGATTTCTTAATGCCCATGCATTATTTGGTTCAATTTCTAATGATTTATTAAAATCTGCAAGTGATTCTTCATATCTGTGCATTAAGCGATATGTTTCTCCACGACTTCTTAATGCCCATGCATTATTTGATTCAATTTTTAATGATTTATTTAAATCTGCAAGTGATTCTTCATATCTGTGAATTATGCGATATGTTTCTCCGCGATTTCTTAATGCAAATGCATTATTTGGTTCAATTTCTAATGATTTATTTAAATCTGCAAGTGATTCTTTATATTTACTTATCATGAGATAAGTTACTCCACGATTTCTTAATGCAACTGCGTTATTTGGATCAATTTCTAACAATTTATTGAAGTCTGCAAGTGATTCTTCATATCTGTGCATTATGCGATATGCTTCTCCGCGATTTCTTAATGCAAATACATTATTTGGTTCAACTTCTAATGATTTATTGAAGTCTGCAAGTGATACTTCATATTCACCCACCATGAAATAGGTTACTCCTCGATAATTTAGTGCAAATGCATTATTTGGTTCAATTTCTAATGATTTATTTAAATCTGCAAGCGATTCTTCATATCTGTTCATCATACAGTAAGTTATACCACGGTTTCCCAATGCCCAAGCATTATTTGGATCAATTAACAATGATTTATTTAAGTCTGCTACATATTCTAATAATTTTTTTAAATCTACATCTAATTTTTCATACCATGTAGTCAAATGGTAAATTATTTCGTTGTGTTTAGTTCTTAACGATTTGATACTCATTTCATGGCCAATTGAATTCCATGAAAATAAGCTTTCATATCCTGATGTGTCAATTATATACCAGTCTAAATTATACTCTAAATGCATTGAGGCTTGCTTATCTTTCAATAAAGGCTCGATATCTTCAAATTTATGATTAATAAGTGTATAGTTGATTTGATGTAGTGTACTTTATAAAATGGAAGTATAAAAATAATTATTAGAATTATTTGAATGTAATAAGCTAAATATAGAAACCACTAATTACCTGGAGTTTATAATTACTTCAATTGTAGGTTCAAAATTTGTGGATGGAAATTCAAATATGGTTGCAAAAATTAAATTTTTTGATATTTGTTTGGTTATATTAGTTATATTAATTGTGTCGGAGATGATCTTTTTATCCATTTTAATTTTTTTGTTACAAGATGTTAATTTGATATTTCTTAATTTATAATCAAAATAGTCAAGATTTATTGGTTCTCCAACCAGTGCCCAACAAAGTTTCAATTCACTATAAATATAAAAGGCGAAAAATAAATATATTTATAAAGTACAAGATCTTAATAATTTTACACTTCACCTATTAAATACTTCTTTTGAACTCATTTGCTCTTCAATTATAGCATAAAAACCATAACAATCCATTAGCCGAAATTTAACGGTCAGATTTATTTTTTTTATATCAATTGTAACAATAGATCCAATAATTTGATATTGATTGCTTCGTAAAGGTGTGTCAAATTTGATTCTATGGTATATAATTTCATTTCCTATTATTTCTTCCCCAGTCATTATAATTCGCTCTTCCTTTTTTATTAATTCACTAATTTGATCTTGTATGTTCGAATCAAGAAGTTTCCATATCGGTATTAACTTGGATCGATTCACAACATGCCAAGTTTTAGGGTATGTTGAAGTATTTCCATCCAACCACCTTTCAATATTCTCGGGTTCAACAATGGAACAATCACCTGAAAATGCGTTTACATTAAGTGTTAACTGAAAATTTTTCCATTCTTTTATCATGTCATCTTGTTCTTTTGGTATTTCAGGTCTTTGAAAATTTATAAACACTTCTGTTGGAAATTCAGAATAAGAATAACACATTGATTCTATGCAATTGCCAAGCATATAAGTTTTGCAAAAGTAATATCCATATTTATTAAAAACATTTACTAATTTTGTATAGGGTTTATTACTCTCTAATGCTTTTTTGATATCGTCTTTGAATTGATTTGAAACTTTAATTTTATTTTTTTCTGTATGAACTTGGATTTTCAATTGTTCTTGAATAAGATTACAAGCAACAGCGTTGATTTCTGAATCAGGCAAGTCTATGAATGGATCATTTTGGAAGAGTTGCTTTTCCGTATTTATTCTATTAATGTTCATTAATAGATCAATTGAATTCTTTATATGAAATATTTTTAATGAAGTTGTTTCACTAAAATTAAATTCAGGTTCGCACAGAAATTCTATAGCCTTTTCTTTACTGAATGTCAATCCATTCTGAGTTATTAGAAGACCATTCTCCATATGATATTTCTTTATCAAATATGGTAAATTAATAGCTATGCTATTTATCAGCCAATCATCTATGTCTTGCTCTTTATGAAAACTTGTGATTCCAGGAACAAGCCTTTTGTTAATGCTAGCAAACCAATCCATTGACATATTATGTGAGGCTATAATTGATTCTCGCAATTGTTTGTCAAGTCTAGTGAAAGATGGAATGACTTTCTCATAAGCAATTACGGAAAATTTTTCATACGAAAATAGTTGATTCACATAATCACTCTGAATCATATAAATTTATGAAATAAAAAATGATAAATTTAAAATTCCAATTCTTCAAATTGTTTTGGCAAATTTGACAGAAATTAAAAAAAAACTTATTACCAATTGTTTTTCGTCAAGAAGCGGATTATTATCTAAGTCATATAATTCCGAAAAATTTTCAGAGTTTTTTCCAAATGGATTTTTGTATTTATGCGCATGACTTATTTCATCAATAATCCAAATGATACGAGCTTTTAAAATATCTAACTTTGACTTATTTTTAAAATCGGATGCATTTTTAATAATTAAACCACCTCCCACTAAAATCGTTTCAGCAAGAAATTGCTGAAATAGTTCTGCTTTACTTGATTTTTCTACATAAGCTTTAAAAGAATCGAGTGGATTTCCATTGTATGTGATTTTAAGCACAGGAATTATTAATTTAAGGTGTTTTCGAGGTAGATAGCCAGAAGTGAGTTCAAAATTTTCACGTTCTAAAGTTTGAAATCTTTCAGAAATTATATCCCAGGTCGATATCTGCTTCTCTTCAGTTGGTTCATAAATATAAACTTTAGTGTATTCTTCAATTTTAAGTTGTCCTTCACCAATTAACGGCTCAGTATAAATAAAGTTTCCATCCTTATATTGAAGTCCATGGTCTAGTTTTAAATATTTCACAAATTCTTTTTCTGTTTCATCCATGGCAGATATTGTTTGCAGTCATAGAATAAATATCATAAATATTATGTATAGAATCACGCAGATTAAAGATTTGGTAACTGTAAGCACTCTTGCAACTTATGAAATAGGTATCTACCGATCATGTGAAAATTTGTCGATGAAACAGTACGACGTACGTATGTCTAGAGTTGGAAATTTTGCGCAAATTTCAATTTTGATGTACGTCGTTACATGTAAGTTACAATAAGTATCTTGGTGTTAATTTGCAAAATCATGTAACCTTTCGAATCAGATTTAGTCTATCAAAATGCTCGCAAGATTTAAACCTTTAATTATACAAGCAGTTAGGAACTCTACTACTACTGAACGCCTCGCTAAGGAAGTGACAATAGAAATAGATGAGGAATCTAACAGTTATACTCAAAAAGTAGATACAGAACAGTCTCTTTCGAATTTTAGAAAAGAATTATCAGACTTATATGAACAAAATCCAAACGGACGTCCATATATATATAAAAATATGTTTTTTGTTGGCAAAGGCGGTGGTATTATAAGCGAAGAAGATGAAAATGATTGTAAGTTAAGTGATGTGCTTCATTATGGAAATATTATAAAGATTAAACGATCTCTTAAGCACATTGATGAATCGGAAATTATAAAACGGTGCAAGTTAGAATATGGAATTAAAATGTCTGATGATGGACCTGTTGAACCTCATAAAAATAAAAAGGCCTTTGAATTTATTAAACAAAATGAAGTGGTTGAGTTGTTCCAACAAATCGCAGATATCTATAGCAAAGTTGAAAGTATTACACGAAATAATAAATATGAAATCATTTACCAAAAAAATTTAATCACTAATCTAAAAGTTTCTACCAATTTACCTTGGTCATCATTATCCACTAGCCTTAATATATCACACAAAAGATCAAATAAAAGAGCTAACTACAATGAAACTTCTATGACGTTCGATGTCAATCTACAAGGTCGTGCGAAAGTAATAATGACTAACAAAATTCGTCCGTCAAAAGAATTTGAAAAAGCAGTAGATCATGCTCTGAGATGTCCTAACCCTATTGAAGAACTTAAAGGTGTCTGTAATGAATATGGGGAATTCTGGGCACGTGAAATAATCATAGGAGGAAAAATTCAAATAGTTCGAGACGATTTCGTTGAAATTAATACACAGACAGAGGAAAGAATGTTAGGTGCCGGTTGTAGTATTGATATAAGAAATAATAATTCAAGTTTGCAGTATAATAGGACAGAAAATAGAATAATAGACACAAATAGTAGAGAATCTAGAACTAGGCCTATGTATATTGGAGGAGATATCAATATGGCTCGCGAAAATGTTAATGATTGGATTAAAACTTTAGAAAATTACACTAAATGGAGAATTGTAGAATATCGAGATGTGGTTTCAATTTTTGAAATTCTTGATTATAATCTACGCAGACGTGTACTCGATACTTTAGGAAAGAATATTCTTTACGCTAAAGTCGATCTACGTGAACTAACGTTTTTTCAAAATCAAAAACCATGTATACACGAATTAGATATACCAAAGAAATATAAAGAAAACCTTAAAGACTATCAAATTTTTGCTACAATAATAAGCAAGAAGGGAAAAGGCACTTTTTCTGTTCGAGTCATGTATACGACCGACAACAACTCTACAAATCTTCATTCTGCAAATCTCCTCATTCATCAATTCAGAAAGTCTGGAGGTAATAGACCACGAGAGTATTCATTGAAAATAGGATGGATAATCATTGGCATTCCCAATGACTTTAATTACTTTGACTTTGAGGGTTTTGATGATCTAAAGGAATTAGAAGTAAAACTTTGCAACAATTTTTCAAGTAATCATCAGAATGCTCTCGATATTTATGATGAGTACGAAGAATATAAAACTAATCCGTTAGTTACTTGCGCACTAAGAAATAGTGACTCTCTTCGATATAATCCACTTGAGTTAAAAATAGTTACTGGAATACACTTTCATTACACTCCTGAAAAACATTTACAAATGTGTATCCATAATCATGACCTGGCAAGTGTAAGAAATGAAGATATATTATCATATCTTTCAGTTCAATACTGGTTCGTACATACATTATTATTATAATTAAAATTTCTTATTCTTTACAATTTTAATTCTTGTAATTCTATTTTAGTATTACTCACCGTGACCATAGTTCTGTGCCTAAAGGAATGTTGCGTCATAATACAATATTCAGGAAAAAAACAAAATGGGAATGTATTCAACCAGACTTTGCAAGTCTTTATCAAAAAGCCATTGGAAGTTGTGTTCCAGGATTATTAAAGATCACTCCTGAAAATGTAGTTTTTAAACCTTTTAATGGAATTACTTTTAACGAAAAAGAACTACTTGCGTTATACTATATGTGTATCTTACAAAAGTGTGAAATATAATTTAAACATAATACTGTATATATTAAGTGTACTTTTACATATATATTTTAATAAAAAGATTTCAACAGTTCACTCCGAATTAAGTACATTTAAACTGGCCCTGGAACCACTTTTTAATTTTATTTATCTTCTAATTGCAGTTACCTTGTGTTTGGAATAGAATTAAAATTTTGGTTTAAATCAAATATAACGAAGTCGTTGTCAATTTATTCAGTAACAGCTTATAAATAATTTATTAATCTTAGTTTATAAGTTGCTTTAAAAACTTATTGAATTTCTGAAAGAAACCTATTTTTTCTATTATCATAGTGTTAGGCCTTAACTAGATCCCAAAGTTCCGAATATGCATGTCCGTAAGATCATGTGACTCCCGTGACCTTGGTTAAACGCAGTGACCAGTTAAACCCTTATTCAAACCCTTGACCGTGCGACTCATTTTATTTTTATTTTTGTCTTACCCAATTTATACTTATCATACCTGTATTAATTACCATATAAGGATATCTATACACACATAGAAGTTGACACGTGATGCACCCTGTGTATAATTAAGAAGTGGCTACACGATTAAGATGACTAAGTGGAAAGAACCACTTGAAGAAATTATCTTTCAGGTAAAAGACTTACCGAATAAATTAGTCATCCAAGATAACCATATGGCATTTAATTATTATAAAATCACCATTGCTTACAAATGTGATTACTGGTTCTGATGAAAATGCCTTTAGATGAATAGTGATGTCCAGAAGCACTCTAATATAAACAAAGGTATTGAAGGAAGGATTAGTGAAGAAATAGGAAATATGTGAGAGCAGAAATGGATAGATATATACCTGATAGTAGAGTAGTCTTAATTATATATATATATCGAAAATGTATTTAAAGACTTACTTTCATGCTTCAATAAAATATTATTTGATTTCTAACTTATCTAAATAAAATACAAATATCTATATCGTTATATACAAGTGTCAAATTATTTAGACTATTAAGAAACTTAATGATCATAATTATGAATTGATATAAAGAGATTTCATAATCACGTATCTTAAAAGTATTGTTTGATTAGTGAAATAACTTTTTGCATCTTCATATATATTAGCTATTTGCCTCTTTTAAACCCAAATTACACAGTTAAAGCCTCTTGTAGAAGCTTGTATCAAGTCAACTTTAAGGTTAAAAGCTTAGCAATTATTTGTTATTAAACCCTAGTTGCATAGAACTAATTGAGAGGTGATTTGAGCATAACAATAGCTATCACCTAACAATTGTTATTACAGAATTATTTAGAATAAATTTAAAATACAGATGCATAAACAAAAATCATCAATATGTATATAATCAAAAAGTATATAAAGATTAAGAACAACAGAATAAAGTCAAAATATAAATCTTATAATAATAGTTTTTTTTTTTATGTATTTATTAATTTCCCACAGTTCTGAATTTAGCCAATAAGAAGAAATCATGGGGACAAGATCTGGTATTATATAAAAATTAATAAAATAACAAAGAACAATAAAAAATCAAATTAATCTTAAAATTTTGCCTGAGAAATCACCTTTTATTCACTAATAAAAAAAAATTTCTGCCAAAATTTTAGTATATGCTTCACTTACCAAATCTAATACTATATCTAACCAAAGTGCTACTTTTAAAAGGATGGTGATATATAAATAATTGCAAAAAATTTCAACTAATAGAAAGTGTGAGGAAAAATTAGTAAATGCTTTTTTTATACAGAGTATGATGAGATTAAATAAATGACATATTTGTTTTCAAATAATGCTTATAGATTATTTGGTACAGAGATGTGGCCAAATCTTTTAAGTAATAAATAAGGATTGGCTAATTAAATTAGTTAATAATACTTATTTATCACTTATAATGATTCATTATACCCTTGTACCAAAAGAAAAAGATTGCTTATAATAGACCTAATTCAGGTAAAAGGGGCTACCTAAAAACTCTTCCCGCCGATCCCTCGTACCAAAATTCTACAAAAGAAAAACGGGCTATAGTGCAAAAACTGAAGCAGAAACTATAAAAGTGGAAATAAGAAAAGAGAAAGAGAATCAAAAAATACATATAGATTAATAACAAGAAAGGATTCCCAGTAGCTTTGATAGAGCTAAGGGGAGCAAAACTAAAGTTTTTACAACTTAACGAACAAAAAGTGGGCACTCGCAGTTGACCCAGAATGTAGATCCCGGTGTAAACAAACAAACACGTCACGTAATAGTGCAACACAGAGATAAACAACACAACACGAAAGTTGTAGATAAACCAAACAATAAATGCGTCTCTGGCAAACAAACCACGTGCAGAACAAATGCCGAATTCTAGAAACACAATTTTAAGTGACACAGTACAAGCGATCTACAACAACTGCAAGATGCAGACGATGAGGCTTAGCCAAGTAGCACAAGATAATCAATTATCACTCGGCATAGAGTGGGAAAAAAAGTTTGAAGAATACAAGAACTTCTTTAAGATGCCAAGCGAGCAAATCCAAGAAAGCTTAGAAAAACATAAAGCAAAAACCCTAAGAAAAGATAGGGAAATCGCAGATATCGCTGGTACAGAGCCCGAAGTAATATGCGTAGTCAGGTGTATGTTAGAGCTATATGACTGGCTTGAACACCAAAGAATTAGAGAGAGGGAAAAGAACGAGGCATCACGTCTTTCCGAGGCAAAAATCTTAAAAGGGTTGTTGGTAGAAAAAGAAAGCGGTTAGACAGACTTTGGAATTACAGAGCTACAAAGGAAAATTCAGAAGACTAAGCTGCCGTATCAAAGTTTAGCAGCCGAAGAAAAACCCATAATCATGGAGAACCGTATACTGGCAGATGTAGAAATGAAAGAAGGAGTGGGGTATAAAGAAGCCCTGCAGAATAGCCTAATAGTTAAGGAGGCAACTACGCACTCTGTAGCAAGTATTAGCTTGAACCTCAAAGCAAAACTAGTGGACGAAAAGCTTCACGAATCTAGTGGTAAACTAAAAGAGGAAAATAGCTCAACTAAAGACAGCCTACAAGACAGTTATTGCAAAATAAAACCCAAAAGTACAAAGGCTAAAATAACCAAAAATCTGGCAAAGCCCCTTTTAACAGATAACAAAAGTAAAAAGAAAATGAAGAAGAAAATAGCAATCACAATCTGGGATATCCCTAATAGTGCAAGAGCGAACCAGATAAGAAGATGTCTAAACTATTACGGAAAAGCAGTGGTTAAAAGCTTTATGGCCAATGGCAAATCGAAAGCAGCATTTGTTGAAATAGAAGCCAAAGATGATGCAAAAGCCCTTGCACTAAAAGAGGCCTGGGCAATTCACTTCAAAGAAGGCAAATTGTTAGAATTACACAAGGAACCTTCGATAAGCACACTCTGATAGAGAGAAGTCAATTTAAATTAATTGCAAAAAAGAT